GGCTCTTCTCACTCACGTGTCTGACACCACAGGTAACAGTGAGTGGGGAGAGTGCGCCAAGAGCCCCTTGACAGGAGTCCCTCCCGTATCTACACTCATCTGGCCTGCAAGGTGAAGGAGAAAGCTCTCCAGAGCAGGAGGGGCCTGCACTGTCCTCAGCCTCCTCCACTTCAAATCTCTCTTCCCTCATGCTGGCCTGGGCCTCTTCTAGCTGCCACTTTTGTTGTGGTTTTGGTTTTGTTTGTTTTCGAGACAGGGTTTCTATGTGTACCAGCCCTAGCTGTCTTGGCCTTGAACTCACAGAGATCTGCTTGCCTCTGCCTTCCGAGTGCTGAGGTTAAAGGTGTGCGCCAGCATTGCACGGCCTAGCTGCCACTTTAACTCAGGACTCTCAAAGCCAGGCACAGTGGTTCACACCTGTAAGTCCAGCACTGGGGAGGCCATGCAGGAAGGTCAGGAGTTCGAGGCTAGTCTGGTCTAGAAGGTGAGATACTACCTCAAATGAAATAAATAGGACAAATCTCTTTTACAAGCTTCTCTCTGGGATTTCAGTCCTGTATTGCAAATTGCCTAAAGGGCTTGGCTGTTTGGTGTCCTAGCAAATTCAGCAAATCCAAAACATTCCCCTTTAAGTACTTTCTCAGTACAACACAAACTGTAAGAAACACACAAAAAGCTGATAAATTCGACTGTGTATAAGGTGTATACACGGAAGAAATCATAGCAGAGTTAAAAGAGAAGTCACCAAAGATGCTCACAAGTTAATAAAAAGGGGCTTAGCACCCTAATGCATGGAGGATTACTTACAAACCATGAAGAAAGTGATCAATGACCCAGGAAAATGAGCAGAGGATATGAAGAGGGTTCACACAGAAAATTCAAATGAGCAAACAGGAGAACCAGTCTAACAGGGTTCATTATAAGAAAAACTGAACATTGGAACTGTATGGACACACGTTTTAATTTATCAGATTGCTGGAGGCCAACAAAGTCTAACAGTATACAGTATTTCGCAAGGGGATGTGGAAACAGTGATTGTGTGTGTGTGTGTGTGTGTGTGTATGCATGTGAGTGTGTGTGCAAGAGTGTGTGTGTATGTGTGTGAGTGAAAAGCCATTTGGCCACACTGATGAAAATTGTGAATGCAGGCGCCCTCTGATTTAGCTTCGCTACCTCAGGAGTTTATTATACAATGATACATTTCTTGTAAATATGAACTTGCTGCAGGTAATCTGTGCCCACTGGCAAGAAACTGGCTAAACAAAGAACAGATTCAGGGAATGGCATATTCTGCAGTGTGCGTGTGGGAGAATAAGGACGCTTTTCAGTAGTAGTTATGAATTATTAATGATAAATTGGGGAACGCAGGAAGCGGCACCCGTGGCAGCGCTCGTCCCAGGGAACAGTCAGTCAGAGGTGCGTGCTCTCATGGGGAAGCGGAAGACAGATGCAGAACACAGACTTTTACTTTAAGCCTTTCATAGTTCTTGCATTTTGAATGCATATGCATGCTATATATATGCATGCTATATATATATGTGCCATATATATAGTGTCATATATATGTATACATACATATCTCTATGGAAGGAGAGAAAGCCCCACTAAATAGCCCATCATCTTCCTACTTCAGGAATGCTAGGTTACATGTGCACCATGCCCAGCTTAATTATTTAAAAAATGTAAAAATTATCCATTTCTCCCAATAATTCCTATATACACATGTTGTGGGGCGCTCCATACACAGAGATCCCTGATTTGAGCCAATCCCTGCTAGGCTCCTCACAGCCCAACACCAAAACTGCACTGCTCCGTTACCCACCTTTCTCTTACGTTTTCTCAGCTCCACTGTAAGGCCATCCCAGGCCTAGCTCTGCTGCCACACCCAGACCTCCTGCTGCCTGGTGCCTCTTGTGCTTTCTAGGAAAGGGTGTGAGCATTTGGACTTAGCCTCAGCTGTTGCCCCCGAGACACCTTCACCCCTGCCACAGTGTCTCTCCCCCCTCACGGCACTGTTTCCTGACCACAGTTTTCATCCGCTGACTGACACGGACTCTTCTTGGCTTTACAGGCACTTTGGCTGAGCCTTCCTTGTTCTGCTGTTGTACACATGAAATAACCCTGTGACTCAGAAGTTAGGAAGGATTTGATAACATGCCAGGCTTGTCCTGTAACCCCAACACTAGGAAAGCCGAGTTCCAAGGGCAGTGAGGTCAGGGCCAGCCTGGGTTACACAGAGACTCTGTGTGTGTGTGTGTGTGTGTGTGTGTGTGTGTGTGTGTGTGTGTGTGTGTGTGTGTGTGTGTGTGTGAGAGAGAGAGACACACACACACACACACACACACACACTGTGGAGAAAGACAGAGTCAGAGAGACAGACACAGACACACACAGAGTGTGAACTAAAGAAAGGGTCCAGAAGGATGTCTAATCATCACGTGAGCTGAACTCCTTCTTCACGTGGTCAGGGAAAGTTCAGATTCTCAGGATCTGCAGAGCAGGGGCACTGACAAACACATATATCACCATGGTCATACAATACAGCAACCAACCCACCCCCACAGTCCTTAGTCAGTCCTCATTTTTCAGCTCAGAAGGTCAAGCTTGGGTGTGAATTGAAATCACCCCTGAGCTTTTGAGACTCTGTCTTTGGGGTTCTAATATCAGAGATTCTTTGCATGTGTGTGAGTGTCCATGATGTGGGAATCAAATCGGAGGCTTTTACACCAGTCCTCAACCCTTGGATTTTTTTTGGGTTTTTTTGTTTGTTTGTTTCGTTTTTTGTCTTTTTTTTTTTTCGAGACAGAGGTTTTTCTGAATTGTTTTGGAGGCTGTCCTGGAACTTGCTCTGTAGACCAGGCTGGCCTCGAACTCACAGAGGTCCGCCCGCCTCTGCCTCCCAGTGCTGGGATTAAAGGCATCCACCACCACCAACCGGCTTAGCCCTTTGCTTTTTGAGATATATAACCTTGTAGCTCAGGTTAGCCTTGAATTCTTTATTTTCCAGCCTTTGCTAAGATTAAAGGTGTGCACCATCATGCTTGACTCTTATCATTGAAGGTCCCGATTCTGCAGGATGGACAAGAGTCCAGAAGCCTGCGTTTATTTGACCTAATTTTTAAAAAGGTTTATTTATTTACTCTGTGTTCAGAACACCCCAGTGATCCTCTCGTTTCCATCCCCACAGGGCTGGGGTTCCGTGTGTGCACGGCCGTGCCAGGCTCTTCTTACGGGTGCCAGGGATTCAGGCTCAGGTCCTCACGCTCGTCCAGAAACTGTTCTTGCCACTGAGCCATCTCCTCTGCTCCCTTTATTTATTTATTTATTTAAACTACCTTGGTCCTTGGAATCAAATATTTAATAGTCAGCCGGGCGTTGGTGGCGCACGCCTTTAATCCCAGCACTCGGGAGGCAGAGGCAGGCGGATCACTGTGAGTTCGAGGCCAGCCTGGTCTACCGAGCGAGTTCCAGGACAGCCTCCAAAGCCACAGAGAAACCCTGTCTCGAAAAACCAAAAAAAAAAAAAAATTTTAATAGTAGGTAAGCGCTAAAATTTTTTTGAGACAGTCTCCCTGAAGCCCAGGTTGGCCTTGAATTCACTGTGTCTGAGATTGACCCCAAACACCTGATCTTCTTGCTCCCACCTCCCAAGGATGGGGATTATAAATATATACTGCCACACCCCATTAGGGCTGGTGTTCTGAGTAGAGAGGAGAGGTCTGGCGAGGGTTCTAGACCTGCACCGAGTGGTTCTGGCAGTTTGCCTTAAGTTGCAAGCATTCAAGAAAATTCTAGGGTCAGAGATGATTTGTGTGTGTTTGGCAAAGCCTGCCGACTGATGTCAATGCCAGGGACACCATTTGGTTATACCAGCCCGTGCTCTGGAGGGGCAGAGTGTAGTCTCATGGGCTCCTGTGGGTAAGATGGAAGTCTGTGGCTTCAGGAGGGAATTAAGAAATGAGTCTTCTTGGACCTTCAAGGAGCAAGGGTACCCACAGCTCTAGCGCCCCGCTGTCTTCTTTCTGAGTGACATTTTGTCTCTCCTGTGGAGGCTGCAGACTTGAAGTTAGTCAGGCCAATGAGCTTTGACGACCTCATCCTTCGGAATAGCACATGAAAAGAATCCTAAGGAAACTCAGAGCTGCCCCCAGTCTCCTCTCTGGCCTGCGATCCAAGGGCATGCCAGTCATGCCTCCTCTCTGTCAGAAATGCTACCTGTGTGCCTACGCTCTCAGCTCTAGCCTGAGTACCAGCTGCCTGTGTCCACGGTTGTGAATGAGATGGGGACTGAAGGACACTCGATCAATTAATCTCACTGGAAAGGGGGTATCTGAGTACCCTCCCTGTCATTAGCTGCCCCCCCAAGACTAAAGGGCACAGAAAATTCTTGTCCCAGGTAAGATAGACTTAGTTCCTCCAGTAAACTAAAAAAAAGTATAAATTTGTACAGAATTTTGATCTAGAACTTTCTGAAGACTCAATAAGCAATATGGCTACTAAGGGCTTATCAGGTTAATATCACCAATCAGCGTAGCCGTCCTGCTCTTGGTAAGAGGGGCCACTGAGGGCAGAGAGGAGAGAGTGGAGTTTTACTGACTCTGATCCTTGCCCTACAGTTGGCTAGGAGAGTGACCGTACACATATCCCTTGCTTTTTCTGACGTCCGTTTTCTGTATTAGGACAAGGATGGACTCTCATGTTTTCACCTAGCAAGGCTTCATCAAGTAGAAGGGGAATCCCCAGTGCCACGTCCTACCCCTTCAGCCAGGGGGTATCCTGACAGGACGCTGCAGCAACAATGAACCTGCGTGGGACATCACAGGCCCATGAAAACAGAGTATTAAGTGGCGGTAAGCCGGGCGTTGGTGGCACACGCCTTTAATCCCAGCACTCGGGAGGCAGAGGCAGGTGGATCTCTGTAAATTGGAGACCAGCCTGGACTACCAAGCGAGTTCTAGGACAGCCTCCAAAGCCACAGAGAAACCCTGTCTTGAAAAAACCAAAAAAAAAAAAAAAAAAAAAAAAGTGGCGGTAACTCACTCAGGCTCATTAACCTCTGACTCAATCTCGAGGACCGAATGTCACCCTCAGAGTCTCCCTGGCCTGTGTGAGTCTTCTGACAGTGGGAAAGCGTGCCTTCCTAGGAACACCAAGGTGCGTGTTCCATGTCAGCCAGGGTCCCATGTGTACCTTCCCCTCCTTCCTGCGGGGACCAGCAGAGGGCAGGGAGGTCGCACTCACCAGGTCTCACTTTCGTCTTTGAGGAATGGTGCCTTCAGTCTGGCTACTGTAAAGGGAAGAATGCACACATTAGCTTCCCATCTGTCCCAGAGCAGGCTGCACCACACACACCGGAAGTCCTCCGAGAGGCGATCCCCTGCCAAAGCTTAAGAGCCCATGCCGTTCCATTTGGCAGAGGCAAAGCACTCTTCCCGGTTCCTCAGCCACTGGCCCAGGAAGACAGAGTCACATTACTGAGGGGCAGGGTTGTCCTACAGCCCTAGACATGCCCTCCCTCAGTAGGACACAGGACTTGTGTGGGGTTCTCAGGCTGCCAACCCGCAAGGATGCCATCTCTGTTAGAAAACTGGCTGATGGAGTAACCAGGTCCTGACTGTTCCTAGTAAAAACAAGGTTGAAGTCCTACAATGTGTCATGTTGTTCTGAGGCCTTGGAATCCTGAAGGACCTGAGAGCATTGTCCAGGCAGAAGTCTCCACAAAGACTGTTTTGTGGGGAAAAAGCAGAGAAGACAAAGGACGAAGAAAGTGTGGTGACAGGTGTGGTGTCAGCACTGAAACCCAGCTCTGAGGCATCCAGGTAGGAGAACCATGACACTTCTGAAGTCAGTCAGGGCTACACAGCAAACAAGACCAGGAACAGGGTTTGTGATCCTAGTGGGGGGATGAGGGGGGAGGGTGGTGACGGACACCACGGCTTCCTGATAATGCGAGCCAAGGGGTCCACAGAGACAAACTAGGGATCAGTAAACCCCGAGACTCACTCCTACCAGTTAGGTGTTTTCAGTTTGCAGAAGCTCTCGGGCCAGGAGTGCTGCTGAGGCCGAAGCTGCAGGCTGGAAGCCAGAACCAACAGCCACGCATCTCCCAAGGAAGCTGGCGACCCACAGTCCCAGCCCCACTGAGGGCCATCCCGGCACCCAAGCAAAAGGCAGCCTTTTCTCCGCAGTTAACCGCGCCATTAATTACTTTCAGGGGATAATTTCTTGTCTCTCTAATTAACTAAGACAGTGATTAAAATCAAGTCCCCCATAGAATTCCTTGAGTTTAGAGCATGAGGAAGTAAGTGCCAAGCAACTTTTCTTAGCTCCTGCTTGTTCACGGATAAATGCCACTTAAAGAGCGGCTTCGGGAGAAAGCTCCCGCTGTCCAAGAGGAACCGGGAGACAGAGTCCATCAATCTGCCTGTTTGTCAGTTTCAGAGAGTTTGGCATTTCTGAAAACGGTAGGCAGCTGTCAAACTGCCCACCCCAAACTGCTGCTGAATGAGAAGGGAAAGGATGCTGGACTTCAGGGTGGAGCAGCCAGGAGATGCGGGAGCCAAGGCTCCTGCATAGGGTCCTGGCTCTTGACGGGCAGCCGGGGCCTAGCAGCACTTGGATGCACTTCTGTCTCCCCAGGGATCCAAGGCTTGAGCCTTGGAAACATGAGGGGGGCAACACAAGCTGGACTTGCTTCCTGTCACAGAAAAGTGAGCAGATGCTGCCTCAGAGGGAGCCGTGGGGAAGTGTTTATAGAGGGAGGGATCGCAATTAGATGAGGGAAAGCTACCACACTGACCTTTCTGTGTTCTTGACTCTGTTCCTGGACACGTTCCCTAAAGGGAACGGGAAAATAGGTTAAGGATGTGAGGGAACTGTGGGGGTCAGGGAGGTGGGCGTGGTAGGGTGAGTTGCTGCAAGAGGGCCTCACTTTGCCTCCTGCTGTTGGGAGGGCTGAGAAGCTCAGTCTCAGGCTGGGAGCTGGAGTGGACCCTGGGCAGGGCCTCTATGGATGCTGATGGAGGCTCACTCTATAGAGTGTGAGCAGAGTGGTACAAAGCTAGAGCTTTGAGATTCCGGGGGCGGGGCGGGGGGGGGCGGAGCTGTGCTGCTGTGAAGAGAGCGACCCTAATGAAGCTAACGACAGCGAGCCCCACAGAGCGGGTGCTCGCGACAGCTTCTTTATTTTCTAGATGCTGCTGCCATCCCGGACCACTTTCTAGGACCAGGGCGAAGACACTGGACATCCGCTTTTGTAAGTCAAAGTCAATATTAAAATCAAGGTCAATTTAAGCTGATATTCAAAACTAAATGGGGAAGGGGGCTGGGGAGAAGTGTGCACTACTCTTGCAGATTCGGCTCACAACTGCCTGTAACTCCAGCTCCAGGGGCTACACTCTGGTGCACATACCTATACGCAGACACATCATTAAACAAAAATAAAATCTTAAAAGAGCTAGGGAGTACAGATAATATCCAAAACTCATTCCAAAATGATTATGTTAAAGCAAAGGAAAATACCATGTATTTCAATAAAGGGATTTTTGTTTGTTCGTTTGTTTTGGGGTTCAAACTTAGGGTTTAGTGTGTGATAAGCAAGTGAGCTAAAACCTTAGCTGGGAGGGGGAGAATCTGACATGTTTGGTTGTTTGTGCATAAAGTCCTAGGACACCTGACAATCTGCCATACTTCTAGCAGGGACAGTCCAATGGCTAGGGGGCAGGAGTTGGGAGTGGAAACTTTCTATTGTGCATCTTTTAAAATCTTGAATATAAGCCTATTAAACAGAAGCAAGTCCCCCACCCCACCACACACACGCACTCAAGCTTCAAGACTAGGTCCGTGGAAGGGCAGTGTTTAGCAGAGCCTCAGTGGGTCTGGATGGGGCTTGAGGTTGTTAAGTTCTGCTCTGGACAACACGGAGATCTGAAGATTGAATTCTTCCTCCATTAAGATAGATAAAGACACTGTGGCCTTAAATGAGCCTGGGCTCTCTTTTATTCTTATTTACTTAGCCATTTAATTTTTTGTGCTACCTATTGAACCTGGGCCCTATGTGCCCGCTAGGCAAGCACTCCACCACTGAGCCACACGCCCAGCCAAAGCCTGGCCTCTTTATAGGGTATATGTGGTTCTAATCCCAGAAAAGAAGGAAAAGCCAAAGAAGCATTTGGAAGATGGCAGTGATGGGGAGCTACAGCACCCCTCCCCCACCCGTGCAATCTGTAGGTGCATTCCCAGGCCAAGAGCTGTTCCTGGCCAGCAGGGCAGGCGCATTTGCACGTTTTATCTGGGCCAGGACAACCCGGAGCCCCTGGCCCAGGCCACAGTGAATGCTTCAGCACTGTAAACGAACCACAGCAGGGAGAAAGGGTGGTGCAGAGCTACGGACAGTGAACACATGTAACTGAATGGACGGGAAACACCAGCCTGGGTGGGTTGTCGACTGACCCGGGTCGTCATAGAGAACCATCAGCTGCCCTTCGGAGCGGGAGACCTACGTCTGGCTACACAAAGACCTGAAGGACAGCGGCTGCATGTGTGACATCATGTCTTCAGAAGAGACACAGGGCTATGGGCAAGGCTTCCCCCATGTACCCAGTACAAACTCTCTCCTGACTAGAGCTAAACCTGGCCCCCTAGCCTGGCCTGCTAGACCATACCAGCCTTGTCTGCCATCTTGTGGCTAAATGTCACCTCTGCATTTAGTGACAACAGGTCACTAAATGACTCTATCCCGTGGGAAGCTGGTCTCATGCTCTTGTATAGTGACAAATGTAACTCCATGTTGGACTCAGTTGCTTCAGCGATTCACCAGGAACTGTAAACTATAACTATGGTGCTGTCTGTGGAAAAGGCCTGATTCACGCAGGTGTAGGTGTGTCTTCGGGTGGGAGTCCCAGCGGGCACTCAGGTCAAGTCAGGGAGGGCTGACATGCCAGTGACATGGAGTCTCCTCAGGCCAGGCCAGGAAATTCTGCAAACCCTTGGGTTCCTGGAAGATCTTGACACACCCAGGAGTTACCTGGACCAAGCCCCTAAAACAGATCAGGGAAACCTGGTTCCGAGAGGAGCAGGGTCTAAAATCTCTCACTGTCAGTTATTCTAGACAACTGCTCTAGGGTAAACTTAACCCCACAGCAAACAAATCTTTTTAGGGTGAGGACACAAAACTGACAGACCAAACTGGCCTGGAATGTGATTGGCCTCAGTGCTGGAGACTATGTGGGGTTTACACACCTCTTCCTCATTTGTCCAACAGGCCATAACTACACGTGTATTAAGTAGGAGATTCCTAGCACAGAATAAACAAAATAAAGAGTGGCCACCAGTTTCAGGATTGCTTCCTTACTTTTAAGACAGACCAGAACAACCATTGAGTTATCTGGAGAGCAGCTACACTAATTAAAATGTTCCAGGTCCTTGCCTAATGCACCAACCACGACCCACACTTGGGCTACCTACTACCCCACCTTCCCACACCCTTCCACCCTGAGGAGCAGCAGAGTAATTAAAAGCACTTCTGTCGTCCAGCTGTCGGATGCCTCCAGGAGCACCATGCCTCTAAAAGGGGATGTTCCTAGTCAAAGCCACCAAGCTCTCCTCCATGGGAATCTGGGGAGTTAGCAGGACCATCCACAGGCAGGACCCTAACTCCCCAGGAGTGGGAAACGGTCAGGAGGGTGCTGCTGCTCCAAGTGCCTCCTCCACGGTGTCTTCCCCAAAATGACATAGGAGACTTGAGGCTGGAGCATGATGGGGACCTGTTGCTTTGAGAGCCCTTGGAGACCTGAGGGGAGACTCCCTGGGGATGCATGGGAGAGAGCATAGTGCCTGGAGACTCCGCTTCAACCCCAGGAAGGCACATCCCAGCCTACATACAGCCAGGCCAGGATGGGATGGACTGGGCACAGATCCTCCCATTTTGATTTGGTTACTTGGTGACTACACTCTAAGGGCCCCTGTGAGGAAGATGGCTCACCACAAGCATGTACATGAACACCAAAAAGCCATGCTGGCAGCACCATTTCCATCCTTCTAGTCAGGGGCCTGACCGTTTCCTACACACACACACACACATACACACACACACACACACACACACACACACACACACACACACACGGGATTGTACTATGATGCTCAGGTTGGCCATGAACTTCTGGGCTGAAACAGTCCTCCTGCCTTAGCCTCCTGAGTAACTGGGACTTCAGGCCCATGTCACATTGTGCCTAGTTATATGCATCTTGGTTTTACTTTAAATGAGTCTTTTCTTGCCACTTAACTTTTTTTTTTTTTTTTTTTTTTTTTTTTTTTGGTTTTTCGAGACAGGGTTTCTCTGTGGCTTTGGAGGCTGTCCTAGAACTCACTTGGTAGTCCAGGCTGGTCTCGAACTCACAGAGATCTGCCTGCCTCTGCCTCCCGAGTGCTGGGATTAAAGGTGTGCGCCACCAATGCCCGGCTGCCACTTAACTTTAATGGCCTTGAATACTTATAACATTTACAGATGGCCTTGAACACGCCTCTGGACTTCTTTGTTTTTATTTTCACTTATTTTTTTGAGACAGAGTTGTACTCTGTAGCCTTGGCTGGCCTAGAACTTGAGACAATCCTCCTGCCTCACTCTCTTGAGTGCTGGGAAACAGATGGGAGCCATCACACCCAGCTCTGAGCTCCTTTTGCAATGCTCTGGAGTGGAATTGGATCTGCTTCTAACACTTCATCCCAAGATGGGTCTGGACCAATCACTAAATGCTGAGCCTTCACTCCCTCACGGAGGAAGTAAGAACACCACTAGCTGTGCTTGAGAGCTGGCTCAGAGGTTAAGAGCATTGACTACTCTTCCAGAGGTCCTGAGTTCTATTCCCAGCACCCACATGGTGGCTCACAACCATCTGTGATGGGATCTGGTGCCCTCTTCTGGCATGCAGGCATACATGCAGACAGAATATTGTATACATAATAAATGAATCTTTAAAAAAAGAAAAGAACACATAGAAGGGCCCAGAAAGAGAGGCTAAGTGTCCCTATCTGGGCTGGAGACATCCACACAGGCCATTCCTTTGTTTTGCCACATTAAAGAAGAGAGATGAGTAGGAGATCCCGCTGCCTCAGCCAAGTTCTGGGATGGATTTTGGATAGATGTGTACGATGTGCCCTTGTGTTCATTTGGACCATGTGCACAGCTTGTTTTTTTGTTTTTGTTTTTGGTTTTTTTTTTTTTTTTTTGGTTTTTCGAGACAGGGTTTCTCTGTGGCTTTGAAGGCTGTCCTGGAACTTGCTTGGTAGTCCAGGCTGGTCTCGAACTCACAGAGATCCACCTGCCTCTGCCTCCCGAGTGCTGGGATTAAAGGCGTGCGCCACCAACGCCCAGCTCACGGCTTATTTGTTATGTACTGGGTAACCGCACGTTGCCTGTTACCACCGGTTTCTGATGCCGGCTGCAGTAGCTCCTTCCCTTTGCTCAAAGGTGTCTGACGGGAAGAGAAGAGCAGTGAGGCGCGCCACGGATGCACAGCATACATCCATGTTTACAAATTACGTCCCTCAGAAACCCGGGGCAGGCAGTGACAGCCGAGGACAGGCACAAATGAGGGTCCAGAGAATCTTTAGGTGGTAAAGATAAAGCCACACGTAGGTTTAAGGCACCCAAAGGGAGCCACAATCCATACCCTGGTAGAGAAAGCCACTGCGAGTTCATCTGTGGTCAGACCCTCACAGGCATCTGAAGACTCTAAGTGTTTGCATTCCTCCACAGCTAGTATGGTAGATGCTTCATTTGAGGTTTTTTGTTTGTTTGTTTTGAGACGGTTTCTTTGTGTAGCATTGTCTGTCTCAGAACTAGGTGTGTAAACTAGTGACCCTGAACTCACAGAGATCTGCCTGGTGTGTCCCCACCCCCACCCCAGCATCTAGAAGTGTGTGTGTATGTGTGTGTGTTTTGGAAATCTTTTCCTAATGTGATGGCGATAGTGTATCTTCATAGATGTCTTATTATTAGCCTAAATTAAACAACAAATAAGAATGTAAGTCTTGGAGGAAGAGAGCCAGAGTATACTCTAAGTGAAAAATAAGACATGGGGCTGGAGAGATGGCTCAGCAGCTGAGAGCACTGGCTGCATGCGCAGAGGACAGGTGTTTGATTCCCAGCACCCATGTGGCAGCTCACAACTGTCTGTAACTCCAGTTCCAGGCAATCTGATACCTTCTTCTGGTCTCTTTGGGCACTGCACACACACACACACACACACATACACACACACACACACACACACACACACACACACACACACTGGTGCACAGGTATACATGCAGGCAAAACATTTATATACACAAAAAATAAGAATTTAAAACATAACAACAGCTGGGCGTTGGTGGCGCACACCTTTAATCCCAGCACTCGGGAGGCAGAGGCAGGCGGATCTCTGTGAGTTCGAGGCCAGCCTGGTCTACAAAGTGAGTTCCAGGACAGCCTCCAAAGCTACAGAGAAACCCTGTCTCAAAAAACAAAACAAAACAAAAAAAAAAAAAAAAAAAGAAAAGAAAAACCAAAAAAAAAAAAAAAAAACAACAACAACAACAAAAAAAAAACCAAGGCATGTACATATATAGGGATGTAACTCAGTTGGAAGAGCATTTGCCTGTCAAGCACAAAGTCTTGGGTTTAATCCCCAGTCTGGTATAAAACCAGGTGTGGTAGTACATGCCTGTAATTCCAGCACTAGGGAGAGTAGGTAGAGATCTCACGTACCCACAGTACTGACCATGCCGGTTTTGGGGGAAGACAGAGATAAAGGTCAAGGAAGGAGGGGTCACGCTCTCTCTTGGGGTTGTGGCTGAGGTCAGAGACCAGCAAAGTGCTGACCTTAGCTTCTCATGTAAGTGACTTCTCTCTCTCTAATAAAGTATCATATGACTTCCCTTCCTGGTATACTTGGTGTGGCTCAGTATCCCTCATCAAGGGAGGCAGAGGCAGGCGG